ACTGTTTAAACTATTGTAACGCTTCATTTAAACTACTGTAACGCTACATTTAAACTACTGTAACGCTTCATTTAAACTACTGTAACGCTTCATTTAAACTATTGTAACGCTTCATTTAAACTACTGTAACGCTACATTTAAACTACTGTAACGCTTCATTTAAACTACTGTAACGCTTCTATTGAAACTACTGTAACGCCACATTTAAACTACTGTAACGCTTCAGTTTAAACAACTGTAACGTTTATTTAAACTATTGTAGTTTCATTTAAACTACTGTAACGCTTCATTTAAACTACTGTAACGCTACATTTAAACTACTGTAACGCTTCATTTAAACTATTGTAACGCTTCATTTAAACTATTGTAACGCTACATTTAAACTATTGTAACGCTTCATTTAAACTACTGTAACGCTTCATTTAAACTACTGTAACGCTACATTTAAACTATTGTAACGCTACATTTAAACTATTGTAACGCTTCATTTAGACTACTGTAACGCTTCATTTAAACTACTGTAACGCTACATTTAAACTATTGTAACGCTACATTTAAACTATTGTAACGCTTCATTTAAACTACTGTAACGCTTCATTTAAACTATTGTAACGCTACATTTAAACTATTGTAACGCTTCATTTAAACTACTGTAACGCTACATTTAAACTACTGTAACGCTACATTTAAACTACTGTAACGCTACATTTAAACTACTGTAACGCTACATTTAAACTACTGTAACGCTACATTTAAACTATTGTATCGCTTCATTTAAACTATTGTAACGCTTCATTTAAACTACTGTAACGCTACATTTAAACTACTGTAACGCTACATTTAAACTACTGTAACGCTTCATTTAAACTACTGTAACGCTTCATTTAAACTACTGTAACGCTTCATTTAAACTACTGTAACGCTTCATTTAAACTACTGTAACGCTTCATTTAAACTACTGTAACAGGGTAGTTGATGGCGTGATCCACTGAGTTTAGCTGAATTAAAACCAGACACGTGAGGTCAAACAAGCACTTGAGGTACGGTGTCAAGTTAAGGGCGAGCGTTACCTCCAGTCTACTCTCCAGGCACCCCAAGCCTCCCTCCTCCTCCTCCCCCATCCCCCCTTTCCTCCTCCTCCTCCTCCCATCCCCCCCCCTTCCTCCCTCCTCCTCCCATCCCCCTTCCTCTTCCTCCTGAGTCCCCCTTCCTTCCTCCTCCTCCCATCCTCCCCTTCCTCTCCCTCCTCCTCCCATCCTCCTTTCCTCCCTCCTCCTCTTCCCATCCCCCTTCCTCCTTCCTCCCATCCCCCCTTCCTCCTTCCCCTCCTCCCCCTCCCCATCCCCTCCTCCACCCCTCTCCTCCTCCTTCCTCCTCCCCATCCCCCTTCCTCCTCCACCCTTCCCCTTCCTCCTCCACCTTTCCCCCCATCCCCATCCCCCTCCCTCCCACCCTCAGGAATTTCAGTCACAGGCTTAACTTCAGTAGTCAATATCACGTTTCAGTTGTTTACAGTATAGAGCTGCAGCAGAGAGAGACTGTGGTAACCTGGAGACAACAGCAGGGTACAGGGCAAGGGCCAGACATCAATACCAACCAATGCCTTTATATAAAACCCGATCGTAAGGCACAGCGCTCACGTCAACCAAGACCGGGACACAATACCTCCTTCACTAAACTGACTCAAGTGCCGGAAAGAGAGAAGTAACTTGATGCCAAAGGTGAGAGTGGGGGGGAGTGGGAGGTGAGGGGACGTGAGTGGGAGGTGAGGGGACGTGAGTGGGAGGTGAAGGAGCGTGAGTGGTGGTGAGGGGACGTGAATGGGAGGTGAGGGGGCGAGTGGTGGTGAGGGGGGGTGAGTGGGTGGTGGAGGGGGGTGAGGGGAGGAGGGGATGTGAGTAGGGAGGGGCGTGGGAGGGTGGTGAGGGGCGGAAAGGGAGGTGAGGGGACGTGAGTAGGAGGGGGGCGTGGAGTGGTGGTGAGGGGGTGAGTGGTGGTGAGGGACGAGGGAGGGGAGAGGACGTGAGTGGAGGTGAGGGGCGTGAGTAGGAGGGTGAGGGGGCGGAGAGGGAGGTGAGGGGCGTGAGGGAGGGGGCGGAGTGGTGGGGAGGGGGTGTGAGTAGGGATGGAGGGGAGGGGCGGGAGTGGTGGTGGGAGGGGACGTGGGAGTGGTGGTGAGGGGACGTGAGTGGTGGTGGAGGGGGCGTGAGAGGGAGGTGAGGGATGTGAGTGGTGGTGAGGGACGGGAGTGGTGGGGAGGGGCGTGAGTGGTGGGAGGGGCGCAGGAGGGTGGTGAGGGGACGTGGAGTGGTGGTGGAGGGGCGGAGTGGTGGTGAGGGGGCGGATTGGAGGTGTGGAGGGGGGCGGAGGGAGGTGAGGGGGCGGGAGGGTGGTGGAGGGGGCGTGGAGTGGTGGTGAGGGGCGGAGGGTGGTGAGGGGGTGAGTGGTGGTGAGGGACGTGAGTGGTGGCAGCGGGACGAAAGTGGCAGAGGGGCGGAGTGGGAGGGGGCGTGAGGGCAGGGAGGGGGCGTGAGTGGTGGGAGAGGGGTGAGGGGAAGGTGAGGGGCGTGAGTGGGAGGTGAGTGGGCGTGAGGGTGGTGGAGGTGGGAGATGGGCCCAACCCGACAACAATTGAGTGTTCCTGTGCTGGGCCCTTTCCACGCCACACCACCTCCACGCCACACCACCTCCACGCCACACCACCACCTCCGCGCGTCACATTCACCCTCTGGCGTCACACCACCTCTCCACGTCACACCACCCCTTCACAACACGCCACCCTTCACGCTACATCACCTCTCCACGTCACACCACCTCTGCCACAGCACCAACACCACCCACGTCACACCACCTCCCCACGCCACACCACCCCTCCACACCACACCTGTTCACACACTGAGCCACACCTCGTTACATCACTGACTCTCGGCTGCCTGGCGTAAAGGACAAACAGTTTAACAAAAATATACAAGGATCACATGTGTTCCTTTAGGTCAGGTTAAATCAGATCGGGTCGGGTTGGGTCAGGTCGGGTCGGGTCGGGTCGGGTCGGGTCGGGTCGGGTCGGGTCAACACGGTGATCTTAGTCAGTGGGAAAATGGTTGCACACGCGCCTCTACTCACTACTGGGACCCAGGTTCGATTGCTACTTGGGTCGTACGTGTCACCCTAGCGAGTCACATAACAACACAAATACAATAAATAAATATAAACAAATGATGATGCAGAACATGACACTACAACTAATTCTATCCATTCTTACGCTGATGATTCTACTCTTTACTCTTCTTCACATTTTCCCCTTCCTCCTAACTCTCAAACTGGATCTGTTTCTAGAGCTGATATCATTACATCTATCAATGAGGATCTGTGCAGCATCTCTGAATGGGGAGGTAGAAACTTGGTTAAATTCAATAGTAATAAAACTCAGTATTTACCAATTACACTTTCCAAAATAGATGATCTCCCACCAAACACCTTTCAGGACGCTATCATTCTGCCAAATTCTAAAATAGATATGCTAGGCCTCACCGTTTCCTCTAATATGTCATGGAAGCCACACATCCTCAACATTGCTAAAGCTGCCTCCCGAAAGTTGGTAATACTGTACAGATGCTGTAACTACTTGACTCCTGAGCAGTTGCTTTAAGTATATAAGGGATTCATTCGTCCTAACTTGGAGTACTGCCCTCATCCCTGGGGTGGCTCTTCAACTGTTAGATAGGATGGAATCAAAGGCATTCCGTCTTATTAACTCTCCTCCTTTAGTCGACAATCTCTCTTCCCTTTCTCTTCGCTGCAATGTTGCTTCACTCTCTCTCTTTTACAGGTACTTTAACGGGCAAGGTTCGGCGGATTTGGCATCCTGTGTACCGCCGGCAAGGCCGTGGGCTCGTAACACACGTCTTGCCCACCGTTTCTCTGTGGATGTCGGTCACACGAGAATAACCCGTTATAGTACCTCCTTCTTTCCTCACACAGCCAAACTGTGGAATGCTCTGCCTTCTTCTGTGTTTCCAAGCTCTTACAATCTGTATCACTTTAAGAAGGTGGTTTTCCGGCATCTTCGTGGTGTAGATTAATATAATATTTTTCTTTTCTATTCTTATTTTTTCGCCCCCCAGGCCCCGTTGTGGGTCGATGACCTGTGCCCCGGTGGGCTAATTCCCGTAAAAAAAAAAGTAACCTAACCGTACTACGGTACGTGATTTTTAAAGTTTGTTTCATTTTATTAAAAAAAATAAACTCAATAAAGCTATTATTTTATTTATATAATATGATAGTTTTAACTGATGTGGCCAGAGGTCAGTACACCAGGCCAGAGAAGAGCTTAAACCAACCCTGGATAACACTCCATAACGATCCTACTGTACTGTACTGTCGGCTCTCTTTCCCGCCCCGCCGTGGCCGGTGTGTAAACAAGAGAATCAGCGAGGCTCTCAACCTCCCCCCCCCCTCGACGAAGCTGCGGGTAAAAAGTCTAGGGAATGTTGACGCCAATGTGTGTGTTGTGAGATAACCGGTAGGGAGCCTTTCATCCCGCCTGTCCACCTCACCATGGCGCTGTGTTGAGTGTTTCCATGACTGTGTGTGTACCTACTTCTTTGCTCTGGGAATTCCAATATAATTAATACATCTTAGGGAAGATATGTTTATGTTATTAACCACATGAAAGTAAATAAACAGTGTTATCTTCCTAAATCACTCCAACTTTATTTAAATAATGTGTCCGGAACCATGGCAGTACACTACAGGACAACGACATCTGTAGAGGCGGTAAATCATTGGGTTAAGCTAACTCACTAAGTAATATCTTACGAACTAATCAACCAATCATAATATTGCACTATACCAACAAGGCTGACTTGTTTACACCATGCAACAAACAAATATATTATGGAGGGAAGTAATTTTATGAAGACTGTTAAGTATATAAAGTGAAATAAGCAATGTGACGCGTCCCACTGTAGGATAACAGAGACAAGATAACAGTGACATACCCATTCTATGATGACGTCAGCAGGTGAGTGTCGCCGCTCTGGGAAAATCTTCCTGGCCATAGAGGACGGGGAGAGGGCCCTCCACCACCAGGGGGACCCGGGGCTTTTGCCGCCCCTCTTGCTGCCCCACGTGGATGTGAGTGACCGGGTTGAGCTACGGGACCCCGGGGGACCTGAACACCGCAGGTCCCGAGGTAGTGTACAACTCTTGGGGGTGAGCCGCTCAAACACCCCTGGCGGTGGTGTGTGTGGTGACCCATCCCACACCCCACAGCTGTAGCCAAGCTCGTACTCCAAGTTTAGGTTCCTGAAGGGCGTTGTGCTTTCCTTATGAGATCTGTGGTTGAGCGTAAAGAACGGCGTTTTGGTTGACTTATAGTTATGGCTATATGGCCGGATGGGTGTGGTGTGGGAGGACACGGGAGAGGTTTGGTCATCACTAGAGTACTTAATGTCCCTGGGGAGTGTGCCGGACTTAACAGATAAGTCAAGGTTGGCAGCTCCTCTACGCTGCAGGTGCTTGGTGCCACCTGGTGAGATGATCCTCAGCCAGAACCCCGCGTCCCGCCACGGTCCTCGACGCCGCTCTAGCGTTCCCTTTTCTCGCTGCTGCGGCGTCGTCGGTATGAAGGGCCCTGGCAGGGTGCCGTAGCCCGCATGGAGGCCTCGAGAACCCATAGTGTCACTTGGGGAATAGTCCTCGAGGCAGGAGAGAGCGGCCGAACTGGTGAACTCTGAGTCCAACTTGTTGTTAACATTAAGGCTCGGAAACACAGCCGACCGCCGCCGACAGTCGTGGACCATGTTAACTAGCGCCTTAAACTCATGTTAACAAAAACACCGTCACAGTCCATCTTCACCATTTTTACACTAAATCAACACTTCTGTGATACAAATAATATTAATATACAAGTCATGACACAACTTGATGAGGACTCTTATTGAAACTGTTTCAATGTTATTATCATACGTACCAGACGTATATATTATAGGATATATTATATCCTATATATATTATATATATCCTGTATATATTATAGGATGTCTTTGTAATATTTGAAAGGTTTCACTCAAGCTTTCACAAGTTAGGTTACACAATAAAAATATAAATGAACTAAGTGGAAAAGTATAGTGAGGGATAAAACAGAATGTGAATGGTAAGCAGGACTACCACTGTTGTAAGCACCGTGGAGGAGAGCCTGGCGTTCTCATGATAACTAATCGTCAGGAACATCTTACACTACGAACAGTTACCTCGTGATCTCATTCGCTGTGTAATATATTGACTCAAATTAACAAGTGTATTTGCTCGAAACAAGGCTAATAAAGTACTTGGGTTCATACAAAGGAGTGTTAGTTACAAGACTAGCGAGGTCATCCTAAAACTATATCTTGTGAGACCTCACTTGGATTACGCAGTTCAGTTCTGGTCACCGTACTACAGAATGGATATAGAATCCCTAGAAAGAATTCAGAGGAGAATGACAAGACTAATCCCGGGCATTAGGAACCTTGAGTACAGAGACAGGTTAAAACATCTTAATTTGCACTTCCTCGAGAGACGTAGAGTGAGGGGCGATATGATAGAGGTGTATAAATGGAAGTCAGGGCTAAACAAAGGTGACATTACAAAGGTAATCAAACTATCCAACCAGGAGCGAACTCGTAGCAATGGTTTTAAATTAGACAAATTTAGATTTAGGCGCGAGATAGGTAAACATTGGTTTGGAAATAGAGTAGTGGACGAGTGGAACAAGTTACCAAACATCATCATTAACTCGAATACGCTGGATAGCTTCAAACATAGGTTGGACGGATATATGAGCAATAGGGGTCGAGAGTTACTACCACTCTCTATCATCCAGGAATCTATCTAGCCTCCTTTTAAAACTTTCCAGAGTTCCAGCACTTACTACAAAGTTGCTAAGTTTGTTCCACTCGTCCACCACCCTATTTGTGAACCAGTTCCTTCCTACCTCCCTCCTAAACCTAAACTTATCCAACTTAAATCCGTTGCTACAAGACTTATTCTGCTCGGATATTACAAGAACTTTATCTCTTTATTGATTCCTTTCACCCACTTAAATACTTCTATCATATCTCCCCGCACTCTTCGTCTTTCTAGGGAATGCAAGTTTAGTTTCTTCAATCTATCTTGATTTGGAAGGTTTCTAAGTCCCGGAATCATTTTCGCCAACCCTTGCTGCACCGGGACTGCCCAGTATGGGCCAATAGGCCAGCTGCAGTTTCCTCCATTCTTATGTTATGTTCTTATGTTCATTAAAATTCTTCGTGTAAATAAATTCCACAGTATGAAAATAATTTAAAATTTTTACCTCTACAAAATATTTTTCAACTGTCAAGACAAAAAGTAACACTTGATCTCTAGAGGCTGAGACTCCTTAATCCTGGAGTGTAAAATAGTTTGTGACACTTGACTCTCCGACAGTAGACCGGAGAGAGTTGTTGGCGAGAGACTAACAAGTATAGTGATGTCCACTGTGGCGAGGTGTACTGAGGCAGCACCTACCTCACAGGTGCCTCATCCGACACACCTGTGCATAGCCTGACTCTCACCCCCCCCCATACACACACAGTTGAGTGAGCGACTGAAAGAATGTGTGTGTGTGTGTGTGTGTGTGTGTGTGAGTGTGTGTGTGTGAGTGTGTGTTGACATGTATCCTACACACAGACATCACCTTAGATGTCCCTGTCCACCAATACGTGAGTCAGTTGCTGCCATGAACCCATAATATATGTATGTGTGTGTGTACAGTCTCTCTCTCTCTCTCTCAATCTGTTGGACTTACCCTCCATTAAACCCCGCAGCCCTGCACCCATCCAGCCTTCAAACACTACCAGAATCACCTCTTACAACTCACAACCACCTACACCCACCCACCCCGTCTCCCACACTCGTCTCCCACACCCCGTCTCCCACACCCCACAATATTGGCTTTAGTAATTATGGGGCCCTATGAAGTACACACACACACACACACAAATTTATACATACACACACATACATACATCCACTTATACTTATACTGTACACACATCATCCTTGACCACTGAAGGGTCAAGACGTACCTGGCGCTCCTCTCGGAGCAGCCAGGTCAACTGTTATGTTGGCCCATACCAACCCCCTCCCCTGAACCCTCCTCCCCACCGGATATCAACAAGTTCTCGCCAGAAGTTACTATTTTATTTAGGAAAGAAATGGAACCAGTGTTGAATAGTGGTGAACAGTGGTGAGCAGTGCTTAGGTTAGTGAAAACAACTCGACAGTAACAGCCGAGTCGTACCCAAGCTAACCTTCACACAGTGACGTCCCAGGTACCCAGTGATAACGGCCCGTGAGACCCAACAACAACCAGCGATGTGTTAATCCGTCTACGATAGGAAGGCCTGGGACCACACCTCACTCATATAACACCATCTGTGAGGGAATTACTACACCACGTCAGGCCCCTCATAACACCATCTGTGAGGGAGTTACTACACCACGTGAGGCCCCTCATAACACCATCTGTGAGGAAATTACTACACCACGTGAGGCCCCTCATAACGCCATCTGTGAGGGAATTACTACACCACGTGAGGCCCCTCATAACGCCATCTGTGAGGGAGTTACTACACCACGTGAAGCCCCACATAACACCATCTGTGAGGGAATTACTACACCACGTCAGGCCCTTCATAACACCATCTATGAGGGAATTACTACACCACATCAAGTCCCTCATAACACCATCTGTGAGGGAATTACTACACCATGTGAGGTCCCTCATAACACCATCTGTGAGGGAATTACTACACCATGTGAGGCCCCTCATAACACCATCTATGAGGGAATTACTACACCATGTGAGGTCCCTCATAACACCATCTGTGAGGGAATTACTACACCATGTGAGGTCCCTCATAACACCATCTGTGAGGGAGTTACTACACCACGTGAGGCCCCTCATAACACCATCTGTGAGGGAATTACTACACCATGTGAGGCCCCTCATAACACCATCTGTGAGGGAGTTACTACACCATGTGAGGCCCCTCATAACACCATCTGTGAGGGAGTTACTACACCACGTGAGGCCCCTCATAACACCATCTGTGAGGGAGTTACTACACTACGTGTCTGCTGTTCAACACCTCAGCTCACAAGATCTACGTGACCTCGACTGTAAACATTAATCTGTATGTTCACTGTATGTTCCTTTACCTTTCTCTAATGAAGGCTTTTGTTAAACCACCAATGTATGTAATAAGTCATTTATGTCCAATGTATATTTTCAGCCTTCGGGCTGCCGAACTTTTTAAAAAACCCATTAATTATTATTATCACACACACACACACACACACACACACACACACACACACACACACACACACACACACACACACACACACACACACACACACACACACACACACACACACACACACACACACACACACACACACACACACACACACACACACACACACACACACACACACACACACACACACACACACACACACACACACACACACACACACACACACACACACACACACACACACACACACACACACACACACACACACACACACACACACACACACACACACACACACACACACACACACACACACACACACACACACACACAGACACACACACACACACACACACACACACACACACACACACACACACACACAAAGAAAATGGAGGTGGGGTGATATTCGGTGACTCTCAAAGTGCTTTGAAATCAATGAACAGCCCGTCAGGCTCTATGTCTAAAATTGTATGTGATATTAAAAGGAATGTGATAATTGCCAATGAGACCAACTTTCGTATCGAATTTGTGTGGATTCCGTCCCATGTTGGAATCAGGTATCATGACCGTGCTGATAGACTGGCCAATGAGGCATGTAAGAAAGAAAATGTTGACCGTGACCTTGGCCTGTACAATGCTGTAATTAAAAACATTCAAGTCAGAGTCATTAACTCTGATCTAGAAGAAGTGAGAAATGCAGAGAGACCTGGCAGTTGTAGCATTAGTAAATATGACAAATTTTGTGACGAGAGGTACAGGTATGGCCAGCATAAGGACAGAACCAGACAATGTGATGTAGTCGTGGCCAGAATTAGTCTAGGATACAGACACATCTGGCAAGTTAGTAACGCTGTACCCATACCGGAACACTCAGCATGTAAACTTTGTGATAAACCTTTAAAGCATACACTTGAACACTATATTATTGAATGTGACACTGTCAAAGACTTCAGGCCACCTGACTTATTGTATCTTGAACTATGAAATTACTTCATTGAATCAGGTGTGCTTGAGGACATTCTTGCTGTTTATCCCAAATTTGCTGCTAGTCCACACTGATTAGTCTTCAATTAGAATATGACTCCAATGTATGTGATCCACTGACCTACTGTATATATACTGTTAATGAATATGATGTATTTCCTTCTTTGTGTACGAACCTCTGTCCTGCATGGCAGTGAACAGTGGCATTACCCACATGAATCTGACCTATGTATATATATATATATATATATATATATATATATATATATATATATATATATATATATTATATATAATATATATATATATATAATATATATATATATTATATAATATATATATATATATATATATATATATATATATATATATATATTATATAATATATATATATATATATATATATATATATATATATATATATATATATATATATATATATATATATATATATGTATATGTACTGTCAATGAATATGATGCATCTCTTTGTGTACGAACCTTTGTCCTGCGTGGCAGTGAACAGTGACAGTGAATCTGACCTCTATACATATATAGCTGTTAATGAATATGATTTATTTCTTTGTGTATGAACCTCTGTCCTGCGTGGCAGTGAGAAGTGATACCACCCTCAGTGTCAAGACCTGACTGAATTACTCAGAATAGGCAAACTGTACTACAAGCTTTGCCAATAAATCTGTTAAACTAAACACACACACACACACACACACACACACACACACTATGGGGGAAAAATGGGTCCAAAAAGCGTTACCGGCATAATAATAATAATTAACTCCCACCTGAGCAGCACCTGATGATTAGTTCCTCCACTCTCTCTCTCTCTCTCTCTCTCTCTCTCTCTCTCTCTCTCTCCCTCTCTCTCACAACACAAGAGCGACAACGGGGCAGACTCTCACCAGTGTGGTTCAGGAAACATAACTTTTGATACGAGAAGAACGAGAGAGGTGTGGGCGGTGTAAGGGAGTACATGGCATGGGCGTGTGGGGGCAAGGGGAGGGGCGTGTGGGGAGGAGGATGGGAGTGTGGGGAGGAAGGGTCACGGGCGTGTGAGAAGTAGTGGGCGTGTGTGGGTCACTCTCAAGAGGTGGGGGAGAAGGCTGCCGTTGTCCACGTAAGCCAAAATAAACACCAGGGTCCACTTCTTATTACACCTAACTCACTCCCTCACCGTTGATATCATTCACCACCTCTGTTGATACCTCCGCCTGCACTAACCTAACACAACACCACCCCACCCTAACCTAACCTAACCTAACCTTGATATCATTCACCACCTCTGTTGATACCTCCGCCTGCACTAACCTAACACAACACCACCCCACCCTAACCTAACCTAACCTAGCCTTATCTAACCTAACTTAACTTAACCTAAAACAACGTAATGACAGTTGGGTTAATCTCAGAATTACATGAATATTTACACAGTTTCTCAACATCTAAGTCAATATAAAATATAAAGACAACCACAGATGATTTAAGATGACGACAGAACGGGCACCAGAGTCTACTGTTGTTGACGCCATTCACGACCAAACTGACACACACATGTGGCTGGAGCGTCACCCAACACTGCACTCGCCCACTCCCCGCATTACACTTTCTGTCTGGATCTCCAAGATATATTTGTCAACACTCTTATATTATTTGTCTTTCTATTTTGACGCAGAATTACACGGATATTGTATCTTCCACAACTCAACAACTTGTGAAACACTGCCCCCACGCTTAGGCTGTCTGGCTCACACTGCAGAGCTGCACGAGGCCAATATCATGTTATCAATCAGGTGTGAGGGAGGAGAGAGGAGGTGGTGAGGGCACGGGCGGGAGTGTATCACTGACCAGGGCTCCACACACCGTCTCACTGTTCCCACCATCACAAAACTACACTTGTTCCTCCCTCTCTGGCCCACAGTGGTGCGCTTTGTAGGGAGGCACCATAGTGATAACAGGTCGCACGTGAGTTGGGGAGGAGTCTTAGTGAGAAATTTTAGGCAGAAAAGGGTAAGGTGGCGTGGTGTGGTACAGGAGGCGAGTTCCGCTCCTGACGAAAATCAGTTGATGAAGAATTTCTAGAATTTATAACGTACCGACGGGAGGGTACACTGAGACACATGACCAGTGTCGTAACTGTGGTGTGGAGGGAGTGAGCCTGAGGGACACCCGACAAGTGAGAGTCGGGGTGGACTAGACATGAAGGAGGGCCAGTGTTGTGACGACGAGGGCACCGGTGACCCCGACTAAGCACCATCTATACTTGCTACACAGCCACTAACACTCCCTCCTGGTGACTCTAGACCGATAACACTTTTAACCAACTCCATACTATAATTAGTTATGTCAGTCACAGAACCTTCAAAGTAAGACAATTTTTAATTAATACAAAGCGCCTCGTCTACTGAGTGAGACGGCGTCCCTTTGTAATAAACAAGGCAGTGTTTCACGGCCTTATGACAACAGCAACCCACAAATACTTCCCAGAGTTTGTTATAACAACTACAATAAGGAACTGGGAATAAACAACAACAATCAGCTGGAGAGAATTACAAACGTCACCGCCACACACTCCCACCACCACCGTCACCACCACACACCTCACCCACCACCGTCACCGCCACACACTCCCACCCACCACCACCACACACCTCCCACCCACCACCGTCACTGCCACACACCCCACCACCACCGTCACCACCACCTCCCACCCCACCACCACCACACACTCCCACCACCACCGTCACACCACACTCCCCACCACACACCACTCCCACCCACCACCGTCACCACCACACACCTCACCACCACCACCACACACACTCCCACCCACCACCGTCACCACCACACACCACCACCACCACCACACACTCCCACCCACCACTGTCACCACCACACACCTCCACCACCACCACACCACACACACACTCCACCCACCACTGTCACCACCACACACTCCCACCACTGTCACCACCACACACTCCCACCCACCACCGTCACCACCACACACCACCACCACCACCACAGTATTTGCCTTGAACTAGATATGATTTCAAATTCTTATGTCTAATGTACAGCGTGTGTTGGAGATGACGGCACTCTGGGTGTGACAACTAGTAACGAGAATGGCCTTTGAAGAACGTCGGGAAAGTGGCAGCGAGTGTCAGAAAAGTGTCAGTGAGTGTCGTGAAAGTGGCAGTGAGTGTCGGGAAAGTGGCAGCGAGTGTCGGGAAAGTGGCAGTGTGTAACTGGAAAGTGGCAGAGTGTGTCGAAAGTGGAAGTGAGTGTGTCGTGAAAGTGGCAGTGTGTGTGTCGGGAAAGTGGCAGTGAGTGTCGGAAAAGTGGCAGTGAGTGTCGGGAAAAGTAGCAGCGAGGGTCGGGAAAGTAGCAGTGAGGGTCGGGAAAGTGACCTTGGAAGCGGTGACCGGGTACTAGTGTTTGTTTACCCGTGACGTCACGCCGTCCCAAATGGTATTATGAACTATAACCTCAAGTCCTTGTTGGTTTTACTTCAGGTGTGAATAGGCGAGTAAGGTAGTAGTGAGTGAGGTAGAAGGCGAGGAGGTAGTAGGCGAGTGAGGTAGAAGGCGAGTAAGGTAGAAGGCGAGTAAGGTAGTAGGCGAGTGAGGTAGAAGGCGAGGAGGTAGGAAGGCGGAGGAGGTGTAGGCGAGTGAGGTAGTAGGCGAGTGAGGTAGTAGGCAGGGTAGTAGGCGAGTAAGGTAGAAGGAGTGGAGGTAGGAAGGCGAGGTGGAGGTAGAAGGCGAGTGAGGTAGTAGGGCGAGTGAGGTAGGAGGCGAGTAAGGTAGTAGGGCGAGTGGAGGTAGAAGGCGAGGAGGTGAGAAGGCGAGTGAGGTAGAAGGCGAGGAGGTAGAAGGCAGGAGGTGAAGGCGAGTGAGGTAGTAGGGCGAGTGAGGTAGAAGGCGAGGGAGGGAGAAGGAGTGAGGTGTGGGCGAGGGAGGTGAAGGGCGAGTGGAGGTAGGCGGAGTGAGGTAGAAGGCGTGAGGTAGTAGGCGAGTGGGAGGTAGAAGGGCGAGGAGGTAGTAGGCGAGTGAGGTAGTAGGCGAGTGAGGTAGAAGGAGTGAGGTGAAGGCGAGGAGGTAGTAGGCGAGGAGGTAGTAGGCGAGGAGGTGGGCGAGTGAGGTAGAAGGCGAGTGAGGAGAAGGCGAGTGAGGGTAGTAGGCGAGTGAGGTAGAAGGCGAGTGAGGTAGTAGGCGAGTAAGGTAGAAGGCGAGTGAGTTACAGAAGACGAAACACTCCATAAATTACGTGTACTAAACTACTACTAACAAAGAGCTCAGTCATTTCAGGAAGATATTGTACAGTCTTTTGTCCTCGTACAGTATATGACCTGGATAAACTTACTGTACATATTACTTTATCTGAGCCAACCTGATAATATGGAACAGATCTTTTGTATTTTTTAACCATATTAATTATGTTATGAAATATTTGATGATGGGGCGGTTAAAACATGGTGAGCTTCTGTGACGCCAGAACACACCTGTACACCTACCGCACACCTGCGTAACCACACCCCTGACGTCACTGTACAGTATATCTCAACGGTGTTTGCTTATTATCAATATTTTTATCTTGCTCGCCGTGTTCATCAGCGTCACCACCTGACATATACAAGGTGTTTCGTAAATACCTTTCATAACTCAGGGTGTATATTCCTGAGACATGTATAAAGATAAATTACGATATATGACCAAACTGTAAATTCTCAATAGTTTCAGAGTTACAGCACATGACAGGTCTGGTAGTAATGTGATGAAACCTATATGGGGTGTATATGAAACACCCAATACACTGTGCTAGTGACGTTTATTGACAATAATAATGACATATGATTTGTATTGTATTAACATTTAGAGGAAATGGTCAAGTTCTGCCCCTCTTGCTCAATGTAGGGCTCAACCCGTGGCACTGGTGAGTGTCACACACGTTCACAGACCCCAGGAGTGTTGAGAATGTTTGTCACACTGTCCTGTACACTGCGCCACAATTCCTCACAGTTTGAGAACCTCTGCACCATACACCTTGTCTTTTATGTGACCCCACAGGTAGAAATAAAGGGGGTTTATGTCAGGTGACCGCAGGTTGCATCACATCCCTACCAGACCTGCCATGTGCTGTAACTCTCAAACTATTGAGTATTGACAGTTTGGTCATTACGTCATTTATCTTTATTTATGTCTCAGGAATATACACCCTGAGTTATGAAAGGTATTTACGAAACACCCTGTATACACTAAGTCACTGTATTATAGCTATTTTTCTACAGTGGATTAATTACATGGTGAGAAATTAAGACTATACTAACCATTCTTAACTGTTATTTATAAATACGTATTGAAAACTGATACTCCATGACACCCCTGAGACTCCGATACCCCCTGACGTTCCCTGACACCCCTGACACTCCCTGAGACCCCCTGACGCTCCTGGAGACACCCTGGCACTCCCTGACACCCCTGGCACTCCACTTGAAAACTACCTTCCTGGGTTTTTCCAGGCACACAGGAGACAGGAGCTCTCCTGACGAGGGTCTACCTATCCTTATGCTGACGGACGGGCCTTAGGTTAATCCGTCCCTACACCTAGTATAATTACCTTTCGTTTTTTTTTCGGAAACGACCTGGTACAAGACAGGTGTAATCTTAGAGGTTAATTATGGTCTTCACCTGTACAGTTATCTCATCAGGCCGATACTTTAGTTTTGTCAACCCGTTAATTATCCTCGGAGGGTGATGCTAGTGGAGGTCAGGACGCCCAAACTAACCTTTTGAAGACGTTGTGAAATATTGTACCCCTGATCGTGGCATCCTGTTCAAAACCATAAGTGTGTCCTCATACAAGACTCATACAGAAAAATATAGACCAGTTCACCTAACCTAACCTAATACTAGCGGTTATACAGGCAGAAGGCAGCTACCAAACAGGGAGGAAGATATTAGAAGCATAATGTGTTGGTAGACCCTGCTGCCATGTGACCAAGTCCCAGGTTGATGATCTGACTTTCTGCCTCATTTACACACAATTGTAGGGTCTCAATTGTTTCCCTGACAACACAACACAACACAACACAACACAACACAGCACAACACAGCACAGCACAACACAACACACACAGCACAGCACAGCACAGCACAGCACAACACAGCACAACACAGCACAACACAGCACAGCACAGCACAGCACAACACAACACAACACAACACAACACACATACTGTATATTGTTCCTCACTACTGATCTTTTATGGTCCTTATTATTATATATTATATTATTATTATTATTATTATTTTTTTTTTTTTTTTATTATATAAATTTTAATTTAATATTATATTTTTTTATTAATTACTATAATTAATAATAATAATAATATTAATAATAATAATAATAACAATATTATTATTATTATTACATTTTCGACCTTCAGGCCCTGATGTGGGTCATTGACCTGTGCCCGGGTGGACTAATCCTGCATAAAAATATACACAAGACACGTACATAAAAATATACACAAGACACGTACATAAAAATATACACAAGACACGTACATCAAAATATACACAAGACACGTACATCAAAATATACACCAGTTCACCTCACGTAACCAGTGCCAACATCAATACGGAGACACGTCACAGAGCTACAAGCCGCACTATTGTACACTCAACACGCCCACAACCACTGTCAATGAGCCAGTTTCCCCAGTAATAAATAGGGTGGAGCCTTCACCCACACCACCCAAACCTACACTTGTCCTGTAATTAATCTTTACCAGCCTGCCGTTACTGCCTACACCACCTGGCGGTTTTATTCCTGGCAGCAGCGTTATGTAAGAGGATCTCTGTTCTGTATACTTCTCTCTCTCTGTCGTTGTGCACACCTTACACCTGACCCTCACACACCTGACACTCACACACCTGACCCTCACACACCTGACCCTCTCCCCACCTGACACTCACACACCTGACCCTCTCCCACCTGCCTTCTCCCACCTGACACTCACACACCTGACACTCACACACCTGATACTCCCACCAACACTCAGTCTTCACATACTTCCACTCACTCCAATTTCCACCCCCACATGCCTCACCTGATCTCTCCACCTGACCTCCACACCTGACACTCACACCTGACACTATTACTCCACCACAGTCATGTGTTCTATTACTCCACCATTCACATGTGTTCTATTACTCCACCACAGTCACATGTGTTCTATTACTCCACCACAGTCACATGTGTTCTATTACTCCACCACAGTCACATGTGTTCTATTACTCCACCACAGTCACATGTGTTCTATTACTCCACCACAGTCACATGTGTTCTATTACTCCACCACAGTCACATGTGTTCTTACTCCACCACAGTCACATGTGTTCTATTACTCCACCACAGTCACATGTGTCTATTACTCCACCACAGTCACATGTGTTCTAATTACTCCACCACAGTCACATGTGTTCTATTACTCCACCACAGTCACATGTGTTCTCTTACTCCACCAGTCACATATGTTCTGAT